AGTGGATGGGACACCGCGAGTTTTAGAAAAACTCGCTTCCATGGTTTGGTGAATTCAACATTCTCGGATGTACCCTTTGTTGCTCAGAGCGTTCAATCAGGTAGATGGAGCATGAATTCCCAGAGGGTTATGTCCATATGTAGAACACATATGGGTGTCAGAAAAGTAAGAAAAAATCAATAAGGAAGTAGGATCGAGCAAACAATGCGAAAAAATGGTCGAAATTAGAGCGCATATTTCTGGCTCGATATTGGAAGAATTTGGCGCCAGCAAACAGAGGTTGGCACCAGGATTTAGCTGTAGCGCCTGACGACAGAGTTGTCGTCTGGCGCTATAGTTAAATTTCTGGCGCCAGCTTCTGTTCGCTGACGCTAATTCCTACATGCCTCAGCAGCTTTATGTGCTCGTTAAAATTTTCCAGTTTCGCCCAGTGTTATTTCGGTCCTAGTTGTGAAAGATATTTCTCAAATTTCCTACGTGTAAAAATCCTATGTTTTAACTCATTACGGATGGTATTTCCAATGAAATCTTTTTTTATGCATATGACAATAATGTTAATCAAAATTACGCACATGAAATACTTAGAACGTTTCGAGTCTCATCCACTCATTCTAAATCATTGCCGAAACAAATTCAGGAATTAAAATAGAAATCCTCCCCAGTGGAGTCGCCAAAAACTGTAGGGAATATTTCAAGCATTATCCCTAGCTTGAACCCCACTGTGATCATACACTAAAGTACGGTGGCGTCCAAAGGGAAAGAAGATAGAGCAAAAGAGTCGCCAACAAGTTTTTTTTAGGAACTTGTAAACCGTTCACGAGGTGAAGGTTACACCCCCTTAACGATCCAAGAGATCGTCAACTCCATAAGGTCTTGAACCAAATAGGATTCGGGGATGAAGGTACAAATCCAACCTAAAAGAGATTGAACCTGCCCTAATAATAGGCCTCTACTTTATTCTGATCGTATTCATGTGCGTTTTCTGACTAACATGCAATCAATAGGATTAACCCTAAACTTGTTTATCTATGTTGGTTGAATATTAATGCACAAATAAATCTATTATTGGCGATCACTTGCATTATAATCATATTAACCCTAAACAAGATTATTAGTTATCTTATTAAGCGTGATTACAAGTAAAAATTCCCTTTAAACATGCATAAAAGGTGTGATCAAGCAATAATTAATAAATATCAAGCAACATTATAATAATAAAAAATAATCATAATAATAATCATAATTAAAATAATCATAACAATTATAATAATAATCAAAATCATATTAATAGCAAGATCCTAGGCATGATACTAACAAGATTAATAACAAACTCTACCATGTCACTAAACAATAAAAATCAAAGCTTTAACCCTAACATGATACTAACAATCATAAATATTAGGAAGAAAATAAAAGGAATCATACTTAATATTAAAGTTACCCTAGACATGATACTAGGAATATCATAATAACAACCTAAACATGATTTCTACATCATAATATCAATTAAACCATTAAAGTACTTACTTTGATGCCTCGTACCTCTTTCTAATGACAAAATACACACGTTAGTAACTTCAAGGAAAATAATAAACAAAACAATTAAATTAAATAATTGAAATAAAGATTTGGACCAAACCCTCAGAAATTAAAACCTTTCACGTATAGGGCGAATGCAACTTCGAATTATGCTAGGTGTGTCTAGTGCTAATGTATGAGGAATTGTGTTTGTAAAAAGCTAGGCTTAGAAAGAGAGAGAGAGAGAATCAAGAATTTCTTGATGAGAGTTGGTGAAAATAGGTTGTAGATGATCAAAAACGGAGTTTTTACGACGTTATTTGTAGAGAAAATCAGCCAAAAGATAGAATATCAAAAACAGAGTTTTGACGCAAAAAACTAAGTTGGCGCCAAACGCTGACCTTGGCGCCAAACGCCAAGGCTAGCGTCAGGCGCTACAGTTGGCGTTTGGCGCTGACTCAGAAATTCAAGCGTTTTCTTAAAATCAGATAGAAATTGTCGTACAGGAGGATAAAATCGTATTTTCCTCAAAAATGTTCTTTGATCTTAATTAAAACTCTGAAAAGTCAACAAAAGTCAATTTATCAATGATAATTGAATTAGGAATGAAAAGAACCTTCTAGAAGAATTTAGCTAGAAGACTAAAACCATTCCTAATTGCATTAGGAATGATAACTCCATATTAGGCCCTCCTCTAGATCATTGGGCCGCATATAAGGCTCAAACCAGGTCCAGTTCAGTAATTTGGCCATAACTTCCTCAATATTCATCGAAATTGGGCTTATAATATATCGTTGGAAAGGTCTTTTCAAGCCCCATCCAACTACAATACTATTGGACCCATATCATAGACCAACCAAACTGGATTGACTTTTTTCTTAAAATAGGTTTTCAAAAACAGAGAGAAAAGAAAAGAAATTAAAACTATCCGCAACACTAAACTTTCCACACTTTCACTTCATTCGATTATGATTCGACGTGAAAGGTACTCATCACTAGGTTTGGTTCTGGGGAGACACAAATGGGTGTCTACATAAGTACTTAGGGCTTGTTCACATTTACTTAATTTCAGTTCAGTTCAGTTCAGCTCCAATCAGTTTAGTTCATTTCAGTTCAGTTCAACTCCAATCAGTTCAGCTCAGTTCAGTAAATGTGAACATACCCTTATTTGAGACTACCTAGTTTGATTATAATAACCTTAAAATATTATTTAGGATTTGGGACTATATAATACTTAATTGGGAATTACAAATTTGATTGTAATAAGCTTCAAGTATTGTTTATTGAGACTCTATATAATACTTAATAGGGATTGCCTAGTTTAATTGTCACCTTCAACCTTTCTTTATTGAGACTATATAATACTTAATTGAGTTTGTCTAATTTCGTTGTAATAACCTTCCACTTTTCTTTATCAAAACTTTGTAATATTTAATTGATACTACCTAATATAATATTATTGTAATAACCTCCAACGTTTCATTATTGAGACTCCATAATACTTAATTGGGTCTGCCTAATTTGATTGTAATAACCTTCAACTTTTCTTCATAAAGACTCTATATTACGTAATTGGGATTGCCTAATTTGATTGTAATAACCTTCAACTTTTCTTTATTGAGTCTCCTTAATACTTAATTGGAACTGCCTAATTTAATTGTAATAACCTTATTTTTAGACTCTTTAATATACATTTGGGACTGCCTAATTTGATTGTAATAACATTCAACTTTTTTTTTTCACTGAGACTCTCTAATATATAATTGAAGCTGGCTAATTTGATTGTAACAACCTTTAACTTTTCTTTATTGACACTATATAATACTTAATTGGGGCTGCCTAATTTAATTGTAATAATACTAATAACATTAAAATATTAGTGAGTGAGACTAATACGAGTACTTATTTGGAATAATAACTATTTTTTTTAATCAAGAATAATAACTAATTTGATTAGTATAATATAATCCATCTTTATACGGAGTAGTTTTTTTTAATATATATATATATATATATATATATATATATATTCCTTTTTCTTTTTTGTTGCCTAATAGGCAGATTTTAAAGTTATTATTAAATATATACATAAATGACATGTGTCGTTTCTGATTTATTTATTAAGGAGTTGAGCATCCAAAGAGCTCTCAAATATGATACGTGTATACAATTTAGGGTCCAAAACATTCATAAGGGCTTATTCATTTCAGCTTAATTTCAGTTTAGTTCAGCTCCAACCAGTTCAGTTCAGTTCCATTCAGCTCCTAATTTCCTTCTCTCATAACATATTCATTTCAGCTCTATTCAGTTTAGTTTCGTTCAGCTCCAATCAGTTCAGTTCAGTAAATGTGAACAGACCCTAAGTCTTTAAAAAATAAAACATTTATCAAAATTTAGTACTCAACAAATTAGAGAAATGACACTTGAATTTTTTTACTGTATTTTTATGAGAAAAATATGCTTTAGTGGAGGATAATACAGTATTCATTTAATAATTTTTTTACAAAAGAATTCTCAGCTCGTTTAATACAAAGCAGATTAAATTGACTAAAAAAAACAAATTAAATATGTATGATTTTGATTAAAAGTTGCACATTAACTGATGGGTCCATGGTTATATTTTATGGTAAAACAATCATATCATTAACATAAATACATAATTACAATAATTTAAGTTAGTAAAAGATAAAGTCCGGAGATCAATATGACGGAAGATAAATTTACTAACTATTATCCTCTAGCAAAGATAAATTTACTAACTATTATTCCCATTGATTACAAACTTGACTAAGTTTCAAATTTATATATTTATTTATTTTTTCTGGCAAAGATGAGATCCACATGTATAGTGATGCTCATGTGGGAGCTGCCACGGGGCTGGGTGTTGTGCTGAGAAACGACCAAGGAAGCCTGCTTGCTGCTGCAGTGCGTGCTGAAAATGCAGGGTGGGGGGTGGATTTGGCAGAAGCTGCTGCTTGTCTTTATGGATTGTTATTAGCTAGAAGGCTGGGATTTACAAGAGTGCACCTTGAGTGTGATGCTAAGTCAGTGGTGAAGGCAATATTGTCGAAGTCAGTTGGCTTTTCTCCTATCATCCTGCTTTTTGATGATATTTGTAAGTTGGCGTCTAGTTTTGTCTTTTTTTTTTTTTTTTTTTTATCTCATATTAAGCGTGCGGGTAATACTCTAGCCCATAATGTTGCAAGATGGGATGCTAGAGATTATAACAAAATTGTTTCTCTTGGTCCGTTTCCCCAAAGCTTGATTACTTTGGCGGAAATTGATCTACTTTAATGAAATTCTCGTAGCTTGTTTAAAAAAAAAAAAAAAAAAAGTAATTCATATCTTTGTAATTTAATTCAATGTAATTATTTTAGCCTAGAATTAAGCCATCCATTATTTGTATACTAATTTTATTAAGGAATATATATATATATATATATATATATATATATATATAAAAGTATTTATTTAACTCGAAAATGCTCTCTACAAAAAACCCTTCGAATGCGAACAATGGCCCCTCTTCCAATGAGGAGAGAGACCAATTGGATCGATCTAATAAGAAACCTAAGAGAAAAATAACACAGTACACCTTTGGTACACCTGCTGTTAATGATGAGGAAATGATTGAAGTAAATGCTGAAGGTCATAAGGAGTCCATGGTCAATCCTTTGGAGAAGCAGGCAAAGGCTAATCCATCTGAAGGTGCTATGTCTTTTAGAGACATGTTGAAAGGGGATTCTTCTAATGGCAATATCAATAACTTCGATGGTATAATTGATATTGATGAGGAAGATGAGAATCTGGAATCTGACGATGAAGAAATTCCTGAAGAAATTTTGAAGGATGATAGGTGCCCTGTTATCAGCCTTTCAAAGGAAGAGAAAGCAAGGCTAAGAAAGCCATGGAAAACTTCACTCATTTTGAAACTTTTTAGTGGAAAAATAGGATACATGGGGCTAATAAGACGGCTGAAAAAGAAATGGAACATTAGGGGGGAACTAGCTTTGACTGACATTGGGTGCGATTATTACATTGCAAGGTTTACAAATAAGGCTGATTACAATTATGTTCTTAGTCAAGGTCCGTGGCTCTTGGATGATAACTACCTTACAATTCGTAAGTGGATTCCTAATTTCATCCCTGATGAAGCACCAATCAAAATTCTCACTGCTTGGGTGCGTATTCCGAATTTACTAGTTGAATATTTTGATATTAATTTTCTAAACAAAGTTGGCTCAAAAATTGGGAAGGTGCTAAGAGTGGATAAAACTACAGCACAAGCAGAAAGAGGGCAATTCACGAGAATCAGTGTGGAAATTGACCTTACAAAGCCCCTTCTTTCTATGTTCTGGTTAAAAGGAAGAATTTGGAGGGTGCAATATGAGGGGATCCGAATGATTTGTTTTAAATGTGGGAAGCTTGGGCATGCTGAAGATGATTGCTCTGTTTTTCAGAAGGAAGATCAACCACAAGCCATGACTGTACATGAGAACCCCTTGCATAACCATAATCCTAGACTGGAAGAAACTGAAGACTTTGGTTCATGGATGATGGTGAAAAAACCGACCCGGAAAAAGAATCCACGGGTGGAAAAAAATCCGAATAATGTTACCAAGTCCAACTCGGGTGGAGTCCAAATTTTGGAAAAGAACCAAAAGTCTGCTTTGGAACAGAATAAGTCAAACAAAGGGATTGCAAAAAATAAGGGATTGGGATCAAGATTTGCTCTTTTGAATAATCAGTTAGAAGAAGAAGGGGATGTTAACAAGGAGATAAATATGGAAAATGAAGATATGGAAGAATCTCCTCAAGATAATTTTGGAAATATCTTTGAGACGATCAATCTTAGTGAAAAATCTCAGAATATTTTAGCTAAGGAGAATATTACTCCTAGATTCAAGCTTAATTATTCTGCCTCGACCCCCTCTCAAGCTAAAAATAAGAAGAATATTTCCAAAACTTATCAAGAAAAAAAGAAAAATCTTGTGCACAAAAGTGTCAACGCACCTCTTAAGGAAATTAATGATAATACTGATATTATCATTAACAAAGGGGTAAGTCAATCACATGCTGGAAAAGAAAATTCCATTCATGCCCTTGAAGCTAACTCAATTTCCATCAATCAAGCTATCCCTAAGGAAAACACAAGCAGCATTGTAAGCGAGCAGGAGCATAGTCCATTTGTGGAAGGAGGAGAAGCCATCACTCATGTCTCAGATTCCCTCATCAATCAACCTATTGGTTCCTACAGACAAGATACTATGTGTGGGTCACTCGATGGAGGATCCATACATGGTAAATTTGAACCTCCTGATTCATGTTTTGGAAGTGGAGTTAGACTCAATGCTACCACCAACCACAGTCCCAAAGGAGTTGGTGGCAACCATGAAAATCCCCAATGAATATAAGCGGTTGCTTAGATTCATTTGTGAAGCTTATATGTCCTCTTTACCTTCTATCCCAGTTTCTATGGAAGATACATTCCCAAATTTAGCTCCGGACTCATTACCTATTACTTGTATGATTTGGAATGTACAAGGTGCGGGTAGTAGAAATTTTATTACAAATTTAAAGGACTTGGTCAAGGTTATAAGCCAAACGTTCTTGCTTTGGTTGAAACTCATATGGGTGGAGATCAAGCTGTGAAAATTGCTTCGATCCTCGGCTATGATGGTCACACTAGAACGGATGCAGTTGGTTTTAGTGGGGGGATCTGGATATATTGGAGAAAGGACTTAGTTACTGTAAGTCCTATTATGCATCATAACCAACATATTACCATGGAAATTTCTCAAGTAGGGGCTATACCTTGGTACTTTACGGCAGTATACGCAAGTCCAGATCCGCAAAAAAGGAAGGAGTTGTGGGATGAGTTGGAAAATTTTGCAAACTCTCATGGAAAACCGTGGCTTATAGCAGGGGATTTTAACGACACTCGTTTTCCCTCTGAAAGAAATAAATCATGCAATAAAACCAACAGGAGATCAGCTTTGTTCAATGCTTGGATTGAAACAATGGACTTACTTGAAGTGAAGTTCTCAGGAGCAGCACATACTTGGGCTAGAGGGAAGACCCCGGAAACTAGACAAAGTGGTAGGTTGGACAGGGCATTATGCAATGATCAATGGGCTTTAAGATTTGAGAATGCCTCGGTGAGGCATCTAACTGCTGCAACTTCATATCATTGCCCTCTTTTCATCTCCCCTAATGGATTTGTTCCAATGGAATCTTTACATAGACCCTTCCGCTTTCAAGCAACGTGGTTACAACACAAAAACTTTAGCAACTTTGTTGAGCAGCGTTGGTGTAAAGAGAAACCTTTAGTTCCAGCTCTAGCCCAATTATCCTTGGATTTGCAGACTTGGAACCGTGACACTTTTGGTAACATTTTCAAGCAAAAGCGTATTCTCCTTGCTCGCCTTGGTGGAATTCAAAAGACTCTAGCAACTCGTGTTGACAGAGGTTTATTGAAATTGGAATCTAGACTTCGCAAAGAATTGGATGAGATATTAGAGCGTGAAGAAACTCTATGGCATCAAAAGTCACGGGTTACATGGCTGCAAGAAGGTGATAAAAACATAACATTTTTTCACCTTAGCACAATAGTGAGGAGGTGGAAAAATAAGGTGACATCTTTGAAGAATAAAGAAGGGGTTTGGATTCAAGATAAATGTGAAATTCAGAATGTCATAGTGGATTTCTTCGCAAACTTGTTTACTGAAGAAGGGGAGCAAAACCTGAGAGACATCCCGCAAGATATATTCCCTAATCTATCCAACTCAGACTGGAGCTTACTTACCAAATACTACACAAGGCACGAAATTGATGATGTGATCAAGGAGATGGGTGCATTGAAAGCACCAGGTCCTGATGGATTTCAAGTTCTGTTTTACCAAAAAAATTGGGACTTGGTGTCGAAGAATGTCTATGATGCGATTTTGCCAATTCTAGAAGGAAAAAAATCTACAGAAGAACTCAACCACACCTTTATTTCTCTAATCCCAAAAGTCGAGAAACCGGAGATGGCTTCCCAATTCCGCCCAATTGGGCTCTGTAATGTGGCATATAAGATAATCACCAAGGTCATTATAAACCGTATTAAACCTGTGTTACCTCACCTAATTTCGAATACTCAATCGAGTTTTGTTCCGGGGAGGCAAATTACAGACAATATAGTGATTATGCAAGAAGTAATTCACACTATGAGGAAGAAACAAGGGGCAACAGGATATATGGCCATTAAAATTGACTTTGAAAAAGCCTATGATAGGCTTAGGTGGGATTTTATCCGAGATACCCTTCTGCGGATGAATATTCCTATTACCATGATTGAAGTCATCATGGATTGCATCACAACAGCTTCCTTGCAAGTACTGTGGAATGGAGAGCCTTCAAAATCTTTCAAACCTTCAAGGGGAATACGCCAAGGTGATCCATTGTCACCTTATTTATTTGTCATGTGTATGGAGCGCTTTTACCAAGTAATCGAAGAAGCTATTATTGGTGGTAAATGGAAAACTATTCGAGCAAGTAGAGACGGTCCGGAATTATCAAATTTATTCTTTGCAGATGATATAGTTTTATTTGCTGAAGCAAGTGTGGACCAGGCTGCACTTATCCGAGATTGCTTGAGTAGGTTTTGTAAAGCTTCGGGGCAAAAGGTGTCCTTACCAAAATCCAGGGTGTATTTCTCAAACAATGTGAGTGTGGAGCAGCAGTTTGACATCAGTACAGAGTTAGGCATGGAGGTAACCTCAGACTTGGGCATGTATTTGGGAATGCCTACATTGACTAGCAGGGTGACCAAAGCAACTTTCAGTCACCTTTGTGAGAAGATAGACAGAAGACTTGCGGGATGGAAAGCCAAGTATTTATCATGGCAGGTCGTATCACTTTGGCTAAGGCATCTCTCTCAACCTTATCTTATTATTCAATGCAAACAGCCAAAATCCCAAAATCAATTTGTGAAGAAATTGATAAAAAATCGAGAAGATTTGTTTGGGGTGGAAGTGAGGATAAGAGAAAGGTGCACCTACTCTCATGGGAATGTTTACAGAGACCAAGAGAATTCGGTGGACTTGGCATCTATTCTGCCAAACAAGCCAACTCGGCCTTTCTTGCCAAGTTGGGTTGGAGGATGCTAAGCGAACCCCATGCTTTATGGTCTCGAGTTTTGCGTGCAAAATATTGTAAGGGAAGATGCGACTTGGATATGTTTACTCCTAAGTTTGGTTGCTCTAATGTTTGGAGTGGCATTGTCGAAAATGCTACGGTTCTTGGGGAAGGTGTGCGCATTGCAGTTGGTAATGGGGCTAGTACAAGATTCTGGGATCATAGGTGGGCTATGGATAGACCGTTGAAAGAACTTGCAACTCAGCCAATACCTAGGGAACTCATGGATGCTAATGTTGAAGATATGTGGGAAGAAGGGCAAGGATGGAGATGGAGTATCTTTGCACAGTTCCTGCCTCAAGAAGCCCTCAAACACATTCAAAATCACGAGGTTCGTGCTGATCCTGCAGTTGGTGATTTAATGTATTGGAGAGGGAATTCTCAAGGAAAATTTACCATAAAATCTGTAGTAAGTATAATGCGGCATGAGACAGATATTTTGGATGAGAAATGCTGGGACATGATATGGAAGTCACCTGTACAACAAAGAGTCAGAGCTTTTTTATGGGTGGCTTGTCATGATAGAGTGCTTGGCAATCTGAATCTGTATAAAAGAAAGCTAACTGACGATCCAAAATGCTTTATTTGTGGCAATGGTGATGAGAACACATTACATATATTTAGAGATTGCCCAAATGCGAAGCTTGCTTGGAACAAGATCCTGCATCCTAAGTTCCATGATCAATTTTTTCGATTGAATTTAAAGGATTGGTTGAACTACAATTTGGATGGTTCAAGTTCCATAAATGTCGAGGGATGGGATACCATGTTTTGTACAGCAGTATGGTGGATTTGGAGATGGAGGAACTGTCGCATTTTCAATCGAAGAGATGAAATTCCAATTGATGTGGGAGCCTTCCTACGAGTCAGATTCAGAGAATTTCGAGAAAGCTTGAAGAAGCAGAAAGATAAAGCAGCAGGAAGAAGCAATCAGAAAATTGAAGTGAATGTGTCCTGGCATTCCCCTGCTCCTGGGTGGTTTGTGTCGAATTGTGATGGAGCAGCCAAGGGGTGCCCTGGTCCAGCTGGGGGAGGAGCTTTAATCCGTGATCATGAAGGTCAATTTATTTCTGGTATGTCTGCTAATTTTGGCTATTGCACGGCTTTCAGAGCAGAAGTTATGGCTCTTGTGAGAGGGCTTGAACTTGCTCAAAATCTTCAAATAAAGAAGCTGGAAGTACATCTAGATAACCAAGCATGCGTGAGAATTTTTCAGAATAATTCTAATGGAAGGGGTGAGTGTTTTCATGACATTCAACACTGCCTAAAGCTATTAAAGGATGCTCAATGGGAAGTTCGAGTGGTGCACATCTATAGAGAAGGAAACCGAGCGGTGGATTGGTTGGCCAACCGCGGCGTCTCTCAAGACTCACAACTTATAATCATGAATATAGTACCGGAAGAGCTTGGGAGGATCTTGCAAGAGGATGCTAGAGGAGTGACACCCCCTAGACTAGTTCCTCCTTAGTTAGTTGTAGCTTTTTAGTTTTTTTGCTTTTGTTTTTTGCTTTCTGTTTGTTTTGGTTTGTTGCTTGTTGTTGCTTCTTTATTTTCTTTTATGGAATTATTCCTCATTTGGATCAAATATATATATATATATATATATATATATATATATATATATATATATATATATATATATATTTAAGGCAGGGAATATATCATCTTTCATATTTTGTCATATACTTCCTAAACTCACGCCACTTAAAAAAGAAGTCACCCCCACTTCCTAATTTATAGGTTTATTAAAATATTTTAAAAAAATGGTTTTTTTTAAAAAAAAATGAATGTTATTTTTTAAAGCTTCAAACGTTTAATAATGGCAGACAAATAACAAAATTTAACTGATCACATATAACTTAAAAAATCACTACATAAGCCGTAATACATTAAAAGTTAAAGGAAGTTACATAATTCGAGTTTCGAGCTGGGACATCACCTTTCCTTCAAAAAAAAAAAAAAAAATAAAAAGAAAAAAATAAAAAAAAAAAGAAGGTTGTAATACATAAGTATTGTTATGGTAATGATTATAGAATTATTATGTCCATCTTCAACAATATCATAGCAGCTTCAACATTCAACCATGGCAAATTACTACCAAGTTCATATGATTTTTCAAAATTAAACACAAAATTATAAGTTTCGATCAATAATGGCTGCCATTGTTTAATGTTTCTCAATTAATTTTCAATTTTTTGCATGTCATGAATGTCACCGTTTTTCTAATTTT